TTTTTTTTTTTTTGCAGAACCTGGTATTGAACTCAGGCCCTTGTGCTTGCCAGGCAAGCACTTATTCTGCTGAACCATCTCCCCGGCCCCTGCACCTGCCATTCTACTGCCCGGATGTGCTTTGCTCAGATCATACTGTGCTGGACTCCAAATTTATTTAGACCTTTACTCATTTATTCTCTCTAATGTGCTTTCTTGTATCACCTGATGAAAGATGTCAGGGGCTACCACCTTTGATCCCTTTTGTATACCGCAGTCTTTGTCACAGTGTACCTTACTCTGAAGTTTACATTATCCCCCCACTGGTCTTTCAGTTTTCTTTCTGTGCCAGTAGACTGTGAAGTCCTAGAGGTCAGGGACTTCGTCTTGTAGCCTTTCAGAGCCCCTAGCCCCTGTACACTGCATGATTGAATAATGAGAGCTGCTGGCCTGGGGAAAGTTAAGGTTTTGTGCGTGTACAAAAGAGTAATTCACCCTGCAGAGTCAAGGAGGGCTTCCCTGAGATGACAGTCCTGGAGTTGGGCTTTGAGGGCTGTGTAGGAGTTTGCTATGTGCAGGATTGGATGTTTCAGGCATAGAGAGAACAGAGGATGGAATTTTTAGGAAAACAAATAGTAGAGCTACTGAGGAGGCTACAGAGTGGTGAGCAGGTCCTGGTTCAGGGAGACTTGGCATGGTGAGGCTAAAGGATACAGACTTCTCCTAAGGCAGTTGAGGAACCAAGGAAAGCTTAGGGGTTGAGTGATCGAATCAGAGTGTGATCAAGGGAGGGTCCGGGAACACACAGATTTGGATAAAAGTTGGATCTAAAAGTGTGGAGAGAAGATTTATGTGGGAGGAGAAATTGGGGAGGATTTTCAGGATATGGAGGAAGTTGAGAGAAGTCTTGAGAATGGGGACAGTCGCATGCGGGGTGCATGGGTTCCCATTCATCCTTCCAAGGAACATTCACCAGCAGCTCTTCTCACCAGGGCCAGGTTGAGCAGGTGTGGTGGGTAGTAGGGAGCCGTGGGAGGAGTGTGAGTTGGACGGCGCCATGGACAGCCCTGGGGTCTCCTGAGGATAGAGGCCGAGGGTGGGCAATGGAGACCAGCGAGGAGGTGGGCTGAGAGTCAGGGACCAAGTGGCTATGGGGGTGCAGGGACAGGGAGAGGGCAGTGTGGGGCAGCGGGCTGACCCTGTGGGGCTGGCGACAGTGCTGGGAGGCCGCCTGCAGGGAGGATTTGGGGTCCACTCATCCTAACTCTCACTGCTGCCCTCCTCAGTACCAGAGGCACCTGTTCGTCCACATCAGCCAGCACTGTCCCAGCCCTGGGGCGCCCCCCCTGGAGAGCGTGGATGTCCGGCAGATCTACGACAAATTCCCCGAGAAAAAGGGTGGTCTGCGGGAGCTGTATGATCGTGGGCCCCCCC